ATATTTTGTTATGAAATATGATTTAAACATATAATGAAATGTTATGCAAGAATAAATTGATCCATTTTTATACATCGAAGTAATATTCACAGATTTGGGAGCCCTAAAACGAAATCAGGTGAATAAGTTAGATATTTAATCAAAGCAGAACTTATTGATTAGGCCGATATCTTCGTAAAACAGAACATTTTCCTTTGATATTGGGGATATTAGCTCTACTCATTATGCTACATTTTTGAAGGTAGGTCAGTAATCTCAATAATATGGCTAAAGTCAGATCTAGTTATTATCCTTGCTGTCCTAATAGTAGCAAGATCTTCCCAGTAGATAGTTTAATCTTTACATTTTTTCGAGTTAGTGAAAGCTAAAAGCTTTTTCAAAGTTACATTTTCTCACTTATAAACCAGTTTCAATAGAGTTTTAAAAATGTGTATGCGATTATAATATTTTCTAACATCCCAATTTACGGTACCCAATTTACGGAGACTTCTCTGAAATCTTAATTTTCTTGCGTTATATTCCAAATATAGTTTAAAATTAATGAAAACTCTCTGATTTTAGGTTACCATCATTTAAAGTCATTTGATATATTTTTATTGTGTAAGGAAATAACGTCCTTTGCGAGACCCGTTGCCACTGTAATCTTCACAATTGCGTGAAAGGTGTGAAATATGTTATCATTTTAATTAATCAAAGCGGTACTTTATAATAAATTAAAACACTTTAAAGTATGGATTTATTACGATATTTGTTAGTATTTCTCATTTCTTGTTGATTTACTCTTAAGTGTTAATCATCTATGCTAAATAATATTATATGTCAATTTGCAAACCATGAACCGGTATGGTCTGGTTGATTTCGCTAATTAAATTTTTCATGAATTTATTTTTTTATTAGCGGTTACACTTATAATTTAATATTTTAAACTAAAACTCATACCAAGTAAAAGTCTAGCGTCTAGTCTTTAAGTAAATATACATCCGTGTATATTATTTGCAGAGTTTATACAATTTTCTTTAAATAAACTTATAATTCGTTGAACTTTGCAAAAGTACTTAAGTAATATTCGGAGTCAAAATTTTAGGGTTGGTTTAGTTAGAAAAGAATGTAGTGTAGAAAAATAGATTTTTTGTTGTAGAGACTTAGGCAACTTAGAAAAATGTGTTCAGTGATAATTAAAATATCTTTAGTACATGTTGGAGATATTCAGCACAGGCACGTAGTCAGAGGGATTAGTGAGCCCTGGGTCCCATCTTCCGCATGATCGAAAGACTTAATATGTATGTCCAATCATTATTACTGTAACATAACATGATATGAAGCAAGGTGTAGTCGATTAAGCTTCTTATTTGAAAGCTTTGTTTGTCGTAGAAAATTTCTAGGTACGGGCGTGTTTTAGCGTTGGTGAAATTGTAGGTCGGCGATGTCAACGACTGTCAGCTATACCCATAAGCGTTTTTTATTTTAATTAAAATAAAAATACAGCTATTTTATTAAAAATGATTTTATTTAATCATTAAGAATTATATATTAATAATTTATGTATAATATATAACATATAAATATTTTAAATAGTTAGTTGGTAGGTTCGAGAGTTATTTGATTTGGCTTAAAATAATGCGATCTCCAGATTGTATGCTGACATAATAGATGTTGTATAAATGCATTCAAGAATACCGAAGAGCGATTCTTTATAGGTTTGTGGAGTATAACAATAATAATGTAGGGTAAGCTTTAAGAAACAGCTTATATATAATTATAAATATGTATATAATTATAATTCAGAAGAAAACAGTTATTGAATATTTTTATCGTTTAAAATAATTGAATAATTTTTTACTTCAATTTTTGTAATATTTCTTGGTTGTATTGATTACCTGTGTTATTTTATTATTTTTTTATTTTTATTTTATATTTTGATAAATTTAAAAAAATTGCTGATTATGTGATTTACAAAGAAGTGTTTAATATGTGTGTTTAATATATACATAAATACTACATTTAGAAACTCCCATATATTGTTCTTATTGTACAAATGGGATAGATGCCTTCGAATTTCATTTCCTACGATTTAGGTGACATTTTTCTTATGAGTTCTTTTAATAAAATAAAACGATCCATAATTTGGGAAACATTTTTTAGATTTTTTTGCCTAGGTAGTGGGACTTCGAGAATTTGTATATTTTATATAAAATTTTAGATTATTATATCTGAGGCTAAGTTAATTATAGGGACAAAGTTTTTTGAATGTCATATATATTTATATATATCAAAATAAATATTATATAATATAACTCCGCAATACAATATAAATAATTATAAATAAATAATCATGAATATAAATAATTATATATCAAGATTTTTCTCCTAAAGTTGCAAACACTCTTCTGTATTACCACGTGAAGTTTTAATGCGATCTGTTATTAAAAATGCTCACATCACCTGTTTCAACAATTATACTTTTGAGTGCTCTGCGATTGCACAAAGTCATTATGGTGCAAACATATATTTTTTGTGATCAATCGATCAAGTAACCTGAAATAACCCCATGTCACTCGAAAAAAAAAGATTGCGACAATGACGAAATATTCGTCAAAGTAGTAGAGTTCCATACCCTTTCGAAAAACGAGTGATGAATTGGGTTAAGCTATTGTTGTCCAAGGCGGCAAAGTGAGCTTTTAGTGATTGTTGACTTTTTTGTGTGTTATTTAAGAAGTCTGGATACTTTTTACACAGAATGTTCTTAAAATGTAAAGAAATATTTTTACAAATTGCCAATGGCCTTTGTGTTTTATTATCTGCAACGGTCATTAAAAAAATAATAAAACTGTAAATATTTCTTAACATTATGATAATTAATTATTTATTGGGAACTGTGGAGGGAACGAAATGTTTCAAGGTAAGATAATATATTTATCGTTTTTTATTTTAATTGTGTGTTGAGTTGCACACTATAAACAGTTTTTTTAAATTGAAATACTGCACTATTTTTTATAGCAAGAGTATTAGTTCCTAAAGATAATGCATTTGCATTTGTCTAGAACAAAGCCCGATTTTAATGTATTACTTAATTATTTTAAATACACAAAGTGCTTAAATTTATGACTGCATAGTCGTATAAATTATTATTGAATAATATATTATTATTATTATTCAATTATAGAATATAAATAGCTACTTTAAAAAAAAATATAAAAAAAATATTCATTGTTATTTAAGGAATATTAATAAACCTAAATCAGATTATATAGGTAGGTAAAATAATTAATTTAATACTTTTAACACACAAGTGTTTTCAGTAACGATTTTTATGAATCTCATTTAATTATAGAATATATAAGTTTGTTCATATGTTAGAAGTATAGTGAAAATGACATAAGTAAATATTGAAATGTTTACGACTAACTCAACAAAAATAATTAACAATATTTTTTTGTATATCTATTACAAATGTGTGATATTTATATATCACAGTTTGAAATTAATCGGAAAAAAATTAGCTTACATCCATTCAACACACAGTTTAAATATTTGACGAATTGGAGAAGTACATCAATTCTTTAATTACCTATTTTAATTACCGACTACTAATAATATATTTTAAAAAGTAGTATTCGATCTGTAATTGAATATCAACCTTCGTTGTCTTTCGGTTCTAATCGAACGCGAGACGTTTCGATCTATTATGAACACTCTATTATTTAACGGCAATGAAAAAAATTTCCATTGAACTCTCTCCGAATTTGGTTGAGAATATATTTGAAGAAGAACAACGAACTGATCATAGAACCTCCTATGAACATTAAAAGCTTTTTTAGTCCACTCATATCAAGAACCATAAAATAGATTTTCAGACAGTATACATACTGAGTGTAGGTAATAGTTTTTTAGTAGTACATGCTCACTATTAAAAATAATAAGGGAATACAGGACTGGAGACTAGAGAAGAGAGAAGAGAGGTAATGAAAAGAAGTAATTAATAAAGATCAATGAAATGAAGTGGTTGAAAAAGATTCAGTCACGAACTGGTATGCTAAGATGTGAAAAGAAAGTAAAAAAAAAGCAAAATAAGAAGAGGAAGAAGAAAAACCCGAAGAAGGCAAAAAATCGGAAGAAGAAGAAGCATCCGAGAAATCTGAGGAAGGATAAGAGGAAGAAGAAGAAGTAGAATAAAAAGTAACAAAAAAAACAAGAAAAAGAATATAATATTTAAAAATGGGATTTATAAATTTCCAGGTCTGAGACTATCTCAAGTGCATTTAGCGATTTTTACTATGGAAAATTCTTGTTGTACGTGATTTTTTGACCACTGTCATCGCTCAGGCACCATATTCGCCAGATCTAGTCTATTTTATGGTTCAAAAAGTATCCGTAAGTAATAGACCTTTTTCAAAAATTTTTTTTTGTTATGTTGGTACACCCTTTCTTGATCTGGCGCCGTGTGTTTTGAGTCGATTGAATCGGTAAAAGAGAATTCGCCGAAGGAACTAAAAGCCATACCTTCACGGGCCTACGAAAAATGTGAAAAATTGGGTTAAGCGTTGGCATATGTGTATCGCTTCAGAAGGAGCATATTTTGAATAAAATAAAATAAATTTGGAATAAAATTTAAATTTGTGTGTTTTATTTACAAAATCCGGGTAGTTTTTGAGCTGGAGGTAAATGAAAGGTAGATATATGTATATGTATATGTTGTCCATAAAACTAATTAATTAAAAACATCACTTAATTAATGTATGCAATGCGTTACATATATATATTTTTTGAAATAATTTTTATAACAATTTTAAAATATTTAAAGAACCTAAGTATTTCTAACTTATTAATAAATAAGAAATAATAACAGAAATAATTTAGAAAGAAATAATTCTAAAGAATGGTTTCCAAAGTGAGAAAACTACCCTTGTACCCTTTTTGCTTAAAGGGTAAATTACAGCAATAAATCCACTTAAAGATCAATTTCAGATATAAAAAATAATAATAAATTCATTTTATTTCAGATATCTACAGAGAAAAATTGCCAGATGTTTCAACAGTGCTGTTAGGAGGTGCAAGGAAATTATGTCGACCTGCGACCATAACCGATAAATTTCCCATTCTAAGCTGGCTTCCACGATATAAATTAGAATTTTTATTACGAGATTTTATAGCGGGATTTACAGTCGGCTTGACAACGATTCCACAAGCTATTGCATATGGAGTGGTAGCTGGTTTAGAACCGCAATATGGACTCTATTCAGCATTTATGGGTTGCTTCACATACATAATTTTTGGTTCCTGTAAAGATGTTACTATTGGTAAGAAATAGACATGAATGTATTTTAAATATTGTAATTTCAATATAAAAATACTTGATTATTTTTTAACAATAATAATTTTTGCAGCTACCACTGCTATAATGGCACTTATGGTAAATCAGTATGCCGTTATCAGTCCTGATTATGCGGTACTTATCTGCTTTTTAGCAGGTTGTATTATATTGATATTAGGCCTACTTAATTTGGGTGTTTTAGTACGGTTCATATCGATACCAGTAATAACTGGTTTTACAATAGCTGCTGCCACAACTATTGGAAGTGCACAAATTAATAATCTTTTTGGTATAAAAAGTAAGTACAGTCTAATCTAAAAGTTTGATAAGTGCAATTATTTATATACAACAATAAATCTAAAAAAAAAATTCTATTCATAGGTCCTTCAAATCAATTTATTCCCTCTTGGAAAAACTTCTTAACACACCTTGGCTCAACACGTTTATATGATGCACTGCTAGGCGTTTGTACGCTGATATTTCTTTTACTTATGAAAGTAATTGACTTTTTTTAAAAAAAATAATATATTAAAACAATAATAAAAACCCAACGATTTCAGAAAGTTAAGGACGTGCCTTACGGAAATAAAGTTTTCTGGAAATATTTATCTTTGTCCCGAAATGCGTTAGCTGTCATATTTGGTACATTTTTAGCTTATATACTTAGTCGTGACGGTTCACAGCCTTTCAAAGTTACTGGCAATATAACCGCTGGTCTACCACCATTTCAACTGCCACCTTTTAGCACTGTTGTAGATGGAGAGTATGTATCTTTTAAGGAGATGCTTGATAAAATTGGCGCTTCTCTAGCTTCTGTGCCGCTTGTTTCTATTTTGGAAATTGTTGCTATATCGAAGGCATTCTGTATGTAATAGTATTTGATATATACATATATTATATATATTTATTTTAATAAACTCAACATTTTTATTATTTATAGCTAAAGGGAAGATCGTTAATGCTTCTCAGGAAATGGTTGCTTTAGGCATGTGCAATGTAATGGGTAGTTTTGTTTTGTCTATGCCAGTTACTGGATCATTCACAAGAACTGCAGTCAACAATGCGAGTGGTGTGAAAACACCATTGGGTGGAGCAGTAACAGGTATGTTAAATATTATAAATACAAAAAAAAAATAAAGATTTTTAGAGTTAAATTAGCATTAGAATGAGAGGTTGAATAGTTGAAGTTAAAACCGAAAGATAGGAATAATGACCTATTGTGGTATATGCAGTTTCAGTGAAGACGGTTTGTTATACAAGATGCACTAGATTAATATTTATTTTGGCAAAAACAGGGATGCGCGATCATTCTTTGTTATTGCATTTTTGCATATTTCCAAACTTCATGTGGAATCTAAGACTCTGTTTGTAAAATATCTGATGCAGCTATTATTTTACCAATTTCTTCTTGTCCCACAATAAACATCCTAATGATTTATCAATCAATAGAGTCCAACTATACTACACGTCTGTTATATCATATTTTTGTGACATGCATAGATCGACAATTTTTGCATAGGAAAACTCATTTCTGAGGTTGTGTACTTGTGAAAGATTTCAGCGGTATAAACTGATGCAGTATCCACTTCGAAATAGTACCTTCATAGCTATATCGTTGAAAATAGGGATAAGACATAGGACTTATAGACAAGACCCTGGGACATAGACTAATAACTGTTTGGACAGAATCGTGATCCTGTTGCGGACAGGGTTAAGTCTATGGGTCAGTGCAATGCTTCATGAAAAAATATTGTTCTGACCCAACTTAGGTGATGACAACAGTGTTAGAATTAAATATTATTTTACACGTGATAAAGTTGTTAGGCGGCAACCACATTAATGTTTCTATATTTGTGTTTTACTTGTAATCTTATTAACATAACATAATGGGATGTGTCCAATCACTTCAACTGTCAGACTTCAAATCACCAAATATATGAAAATATTGCATCATATGAAATATATCAATTTTTGGGTTTCTCAGTTTTAAGAATAGTTATTTACGACAGTAAGAGACTTCTTATAAATATATGTATATCGCATTGCTTACTAAGTACTTTATTAAATAATTTCTCACATTATTATTAATAGGTTCACTGGTGTTAATGGCATTAGCTTTTCTAACTCAAACATTTTACTACATACCAAAGACAACACTAGCAGCTATAATAATTGCAGCTATGATATCTTTAGTGGAATTGGATAAGATATCGGAGATGTGGAAGTCAAAAAGTGAGTTAGTCTTTATTATTTATATACAATATATATTTTATTAATATTTACTTTATAGAATTAGATTTACTGCCTTTTACTATAACTGGACTAACATGTCTTTTTTGGAGTCTGGAATATGGTATCTTATGTGGAGTCATTACTAATATTTCCTATATATTGTATCGCAGTGCTAAACCACATATAATAATTACATGTGAAAAGGTACGACATTATAAACAATGAAAAAATAATAAAAAATATTTGTTTGATTTTCGTAGATAAATGAGCATGAAGTCTGCATAGTAGACGTAAAGCAAAGATTAGATTTTGCTTCAGCAGAATATTTAAAGGCAAAAGTTGTTAAGTTTATTAATAATCAAATTGGAGATAAACAGGTCCGTCTGGTGATAATCAAGGGACAAGAAATCAACTCAATCGACTACACTGTAGCAAATGTAAGTGTGGTATTTACTCTATTAATAAAACTTAACGATCGCATAATTTGTGTCAGACTTGACAAATATTTGCAGTTAAACAATTATAAAATATTTATTACAAAATATAAATTTTTATGTCATTAAAAAACAATTTTTTTTCCTTATTTGAAGAATTTATTTGTAACTATAAAATAATTAAAATGTTTTTTCTCTGTTTTGTATTTACAGAATATAATTTCATTGAAGGAGGATTTACAAGTTCTTAAATGTGAACTTTTTTGTTGGAATTGGAATATTGCATCCGCCGGAGTAGTGTGTCGTCTGAAACCTGAATTGAAAAATATATTTAAATATAATCTCACTATAGAACAAATTGTGATAGATTTTTATGAACAGTGCACAAGTAATGGTTCTAATTTTACTATCAATAGCTTTACCTAATGATATGAATATGAAACTTCTTTATGAATTCCATCCATTTAATTACTTACACACACAAAAAAAATAGTATTATTAATTGCACAAAAGTAGGAGTTCTTTAAAATGACTAAGAGTCAATAAATGAATTGAGATATTGAATTAATTAAACAAAATTCATTGATTTATATATATAAAAAAAAATAAGAATTAAATAATTAAAATATATATATTAATATACATAAATTAAAATATATATATATATTAAAAATGAAATCTATTGAAGTTAACAAGCATTAATATATAGGATAAAATTATAAATAAAAAATAAGCAACAAGTATGTTAATGAAATAAATTAATTTAACTAATTCTGAATTTAATACTTGAAGTAAAATATTTTAATATAAAGCATTAATTTTATAAAACAAAAAAATTATTACTTAGTTGTGATTTATTTAGGTATGAAATTAAATCCCAAAATAATAAAAATACTTAATGAAGTTGACTGTGGGCATAATTTTAGATATTAATTTTTTAGTTTAATTAAAAAAAAAACAAATATTTATCAAAATGGTTTTGATTAAAATTTTGAATTCAATTTTATATATATACTACATTTGATCTGAATAAATATATTAATTAAATAGATTTCTGATTTAAATGTGCTTTAAATTGATTCTCTTGAGTCTATTAATTTTTTCATTTAAATTAAAAATATAAATTCAGCTAGGTTCGGGTTCAATTTTAGAACTTAGTTTTTATTTTACAATAAAAATATTAATTAAAATAATTCTTAATTTATATAGTAAGTTTATAATTCAATTTTTATAGTAATATTGGTTTAAATATGTATCAAATTTAATACCAAATAATGAAAATAATAAAAAAACTGACTGTGGGCTTAATTTCAAAGCTTAGTTTTATAGTTTAATTCCCACAGATGGTAAAATTGCTATAGTTGTAAGCTTTATATATATGTATAATTACATCAGCTTATAAATTTTTTTATAATACAAGAAATTTAAAAATAAAATAGTATAATAAAAATATATATAGTTAAATTAATGAACATAACAAGTAAATTTGATATATTGGATTTATTTGGATATTTACACCTATTAATAAAATTGTTACTTGAAATGATTTGTGATTTAATATTATATATGAAATAAAATACTAAACCAATAACTCATTTAAATAAGTTACCTAAAATTGTAAATTGATCTGGATCTGGATTAAATTTAAAAACTTAATTATTTTGAATTTGAAAATAATAATAATTAATCCTGGATTCGATGAATTAACTAAAGCACCTTTTTAATAATTAAAATTAATACCCAATAAGTTCTTAATTTTTATAATTAAAAATAACACCCAATAAGTTCTTAATTTTTATAATTAAAAATAATACCCAATAAGTTCAGAGTAATTAGTTATATTAATTAAATCAAGGTGGGTTTGGATTCAATTTTATATCCAAGCTATTATTTTTAACAAAAATATTGATTAATCCAATATCTTTTCTTGTTAAAAACTAACATTGATTAAGATTTGGGATTTAATTAGATATATTAAAAATTTTTTAAGTCTATAAAAATATTATTTAAAGTGATTATAATTAATTCTTATTAAATTTATTTTTAAATATAAATAAATTTATAAACAATTTTATCCTACTGTATGCTATTTGTTAAAAAATATAATTCGTTTTAAGTTTATAATTAAATATTAATAGCTAAAGAACTCTTACTTAGTTAATTTAAAATAGAATGAATAAACCGTATTACAGAATACTTTAAGAAATACAAATACAACCAAATTTAAATCTTTTATAGAGCGTATGTGAAAGACAGATATGGTATTATTACACTGTTATAAATCTATAAATATTAAGTGCCAAGAAATTTAGAATGTTAAATAAAATTTGTTATGGTAAAGAAAAATTACATTGTGATATAATAAATTTATTAGAATAAAAAGAGTTTGTCTTTTATTTAAATTTTTTTTCATTAATTCATTATTTTATAAAGCATATCAGTTAAATAAAATATACACTTTAAATAGTACCCTCGCACAAATTTGTGGAAGGCTAAGCTGTATGCTATATAATATATATTGTGAAAGAAGAGGATTATTCTTATAAATTATTATTTATTATTCTTATGTAGAGAATACTATACAATGCTATTCAGATGGTATATTTTTCTAATCCAAGTAGTCCCCCATGAAACAAAGGATCACATTTATATATAGGTATTTATAATAATAATATAATAATATTATTATAATATTTATATATTATTTATACATAATAACTGTTAAATAAGATAAATCGACTTTATTGAAGAATAAATACTGAGGATTATAAGATCTAGTATAGAGGTTTTTCAACAAACCGATAGAAAATTTGAGTAAGAGGATAGCACCGACTCAGATCGGTATATGACTCATAAATTTTTAATTAATAAATCAATGTTGGATGGGAATTCTCAACTTAAAAATTTTGTTAGTCCATTTTTTGATGCATTCAGTAAAAAAGTCTTATAATTTTGAGACGTATATATATATATATTACCACTATAAAAAATTCGCATTTAACTTATTGTTTTAGAAATAAAACTGGAGTTTGATGAGAATACGCTTTACAGATATTCTTCCATTTGAGGAGAGAGACTATGTTGTTCAAATATTCTTCCATTCGAGGAGAATATGCTCATCCAATATTATATGCATGAATAAATATCAGAGTGAACATTTTTATAAACTGGTGTTAGTGCTGAATATTGAATAAATAAAAATTTACCAGAGGTTTCAACTTCATTTTATTTTTTAAACTTGAGTAAAGCATTTAAGGTTGAATTAGTTCAGGCGTAAAAAATCGATTGAATGGTTCTACATTATAAAAAACAACATTTTCAGTTATTTGTTCTGAAATAAAAATACTTAGAAACGTAAGAACCTAACATAACATGGTTTCCTAATATAAACATAAAAGAAATCTTATATCAGCTGATATGAACATTGAGTAATTGCATTACATTTCTTTGCGTGCGAAGTATTTAGTGATCGGATTTTCTACGTTTGCTACGTCTATGGCAAGTAATTCAGCGTTTTGATTGAAAAATCATTTCATAATAACGAATTTTATCGTTACTTGTATCAAACAATAGTATATGTGGTTTTACTCTGTTTTTAAAGTAAGAGAAGACTGATTACAGAAATGATCCTGTGAAGTATAGTCTTAAACAATAGTATAATGGTAACACTATTTCATTAGGAAATACTTTGCAAAATTATCAAAATACAGAAACCCAAAAATGTTTTTTTTTACAATTAAAATTGTTTTCACGTACTTAAAAGGTTCTTTGTGGTATTTATTTGGTCTTGCTTCAGTGATATATACCTAACAGAACTACTATTTAACGCATCATATATTAAAGCTATAGACTCGAAATCTTCTTTTCATTACCTTTTTCTTTTATTACTACTTGTTCGTAAGAACTTTGGTTCTCTATGATTTGGCGAGGACAACAGCTTTCGAATGCTGTACAAGCTGTATAAGCTGTAAGAGCAGTAATATGATATTAAAATAATTCAGTGAATTAACATTCAGCCACTTCGCTGAGTTTGTTATGACGTTACAATGTATGAATATGCTTCAGCGAAAAAGGTATTTGAAGCAGTAGTTGGAGGAAGAAGGCGTAGAGGTAGACCGTGTCTCCGGTACAGTGATCAAACTGAGAGAATTCCAACCGGACTTGATGTACGGTTAGCAGTGGCGCCTAGAGAGACATGATGTTTCAGACCGAAACCTGGTAACGGGTGGTTATGACCATATAAGTAATTTAACAATAAAATAATAATTAATAAACTCTTTTTTGTTACAGTCTTTCGATAGATGTATGAAATTTCTAGTCCGTTGTTCGTTGTATTGATTTGTACAGCAGTGATACGAGTATTAATTGATTCCGTTAAGAGCCTCAAAAGCAAATTGAAAATTATGAACGTATTTCAGGCAGTAGTTGGAGGAAGTAGGCGTGGAGGTAGACCGTGTCTCCGGTGGTATGATCAAATTTAGGGAGCTTTAACCAGACCTGATGTAGAAAACTGGAGAAGGCACGCACGCAGCAGAAGCGTCTGAAAAGACATGCTGCGTCAGGCTGATATTCGGTAACGGGTTGTTATGGTCAAGTAAGTAAGTAAGTAATATAATAATATAATTTTAATTAGAAAACTCTTTCATGTGAAAAAATTTAGATTGGAGTATGAAGTCTCTAATTCATTGTCCGTTGTATTGATTTGTGCAGTAGATTCCACTTACAGCCACAAAAGCCAATTGATGATGTGAGAATTCATAATGCCTTGACTACACTAGAGAGGTATACTAGAGAGTATATCTGAAATGCTTATTATAAAGGCATTTGAAGCAGTAGTTGGAGGAAGTACGCGTGGAGGTAGACCGTGTCTCCGGTGGTGTGATTAAATTTAGGTAGCTCTAACCAGACTTGATGTAGAAAACTGGAGAAGGCACGCACGCAGCAGAAGCGTCTGAAAAGACCTGCTGCATCAGCCAGATTCGGTAATGGATGTTATGGCCTAGTAAATAAGTAAATATAAAGTAAGTAATATAATAATATAATAATGATTAAAAAAACTCTTTCATGTGAAAAATTTAGTTTGGAATATGAAGTCTCTAATCCATTGTCCATTGTATTGATTTGTGTAGTAGATTTCACTTACAGCCTCAAAAGCCAATTGATGATGTGATAGTTCATAATGCCTTCACTACAGTAGAGAGATATAGTAGAGAGTATATCACACAAATTCTTATTTATAAATTTTGAAATGTAAATTTATTTTAGTGAATATTAAAGTGGCTTTTTGAATTGTTGAAACTCTGTCAACCATGAAATTTGTTTGCAACATTTTGTAGTAAAGTTTTTAAAATGTCACAAACAAAATGACAGCAACAAACTTTTGCTGTCACTGCTGTTAAATAATTTGCTGCAATGTACGAGTAATGTAACTTTGGTCAATTATTTGCATCACGGCAATTTGGTTTTGTTCAAAGGGAAATCTAACGCAAATTACACAAATGAAAAATTATTATTTCCATTGTTGTGCTGAGCAAATCATTT